CTATTGGATGTTGGGCGGGGGGAAGGGGGGAAGGGGGGACGGGTATATGCATACAGAAAGAGTGCAATGCACACCATCCGAGGGATGGACACACTTGAAACTCGGACTCGGTGGAGGGGGCAAGGGCAACATACGTAACCTAAACATCTGTACCCCCATAATATGCTGAAATAAAAAAAAGATATAAAAACATTCTTTTTTAAATTTTTAATTGACAAATAAGGGTAGAAAAAAAAAGAAAAGAAAATAGCTCCTAACTTTTTTGGGGATGGCTTCAGGTTTGCTCTGCCTGGAGAGGAGGAGGCTTGAAAAGATGGCTTAGCAAGAAAGTCTTGTCTCAGCGCCTAACTCTGTACTCTGTTTCCATTTTTCTCCCTTCTTCTGATGTCCTCTTTCCTGCTTTTTGGGAATTGCAGGAACAAGACCCTGCAAATGGAGAAGATCAAGGCCCGCTTGAAGGCTGAGTTTGAGGCACTTGAGTCAGAGGAGAGGCACCTGAAGGAATATAAGCAAGAGATGGATCTCCTGCTACAGGAGAAGATGGCCCATGTGGAGGAACTCCGACTGATCCATGCTGACATCAATGTGGTATGTGGCTGACTGGAACCTACCTCTAAGCCCCCTGTGAAAGAGGCAGTAGTGAGAGGTATGGCCTTTCCTTGAGATGTGTCTGTGGCCAATCTGGGGTAGCAGGCATCAGTGTAGGCTGTGGTGATGTGGGAGAATCCAGGAGTTCTAAGATCCAGTCCTACTTCTGTCACTGACTGACTATATATCATTGGACAAGTCCCTTCTCTCTGGGCCTCATTTTCCCTCTCTGTATTGTCAGAGGGACTCAATAACCTCTAAAGGCTCTTTCCGTCTGATATGCTCTCATTCTGGGAGTCTGGGAGTTGATAGCTAGCCTTGGGGAAAAGCAGAGCAGGCAGCTGCCTCTGGGGTGTAGTTTAAAGTGCTCCACAGCTTCCAGCCAGACCGAACAAAATCATCTCTGCCTTCCTCGTTAGTCTCTCCTTTGGAAACTCTTGGAATGTGGGAAACAAACTAATTGCTGGGGTGATAAGTTCTAGTTTTTTGCAGTTATTCAAGAAGAGTCTAAATGGTCACCTGTCTGGGTTGCTATATTGATGATTTGTTCACCAGGAAGGAGGTTGTAGGTGTTGATCTGTGAGGTCCTTTCCAACCCTTAGAGCCTATGACAGTGAGAAGTATTTTTTCTTTTTTTCCCCTTTAATGAGCCTTTTGCACTCCTAGAGAATTTTTTTTTAATTTACTTTTCAAGGAGCTAAGTTTGCATTCTTGGGAAACTCATTTCTGTCGCAATACTCATTTCTTGATGTTGTCAGGCCTAGGATCTTAAAGGAAATATAAATGAGCTTTAGACAGTGGACACTTGGGATTGTCTGTTTTAGTCATCACAGAATTCTGGGAGTCATGAAGAATTGACAGTTTTGCTGCCAGTTAACGAAAGATACAGGGCCAATGAAATTAGGAAGATATTTGCCACAGAAAGGCTGAGAATCTAGGCCAGTGGGTCTCCAACTTGAGCATGCATCAGAGTCACCTAGAAAGCCTATTAAGACATACATTGTTGAACTCCACCCCAGGTTTTCTGATTCTGTATGTCTGGGGTGGAGCCTGAGAATTTACATTTCTGACTTCCCAGGTGATGCTGATGCTGCTGATCAGGTGCTGACATTTTGAGAACCACTGATCTGGGAGAAAGGCCACTGGCTTGGGAGGCAGATGCCCTAAGTATTTATCCAGGCTTTGCCCCCAGTAAGTATTTTCCTGGGGAAGTCCCTTATTTTCTGAGCCTCCATTTTCTGACCTGTAAAATGGTGGCAGGGTGGAATAAAGTAACTCTAAAAACATTCCAGCTCTAAGATGCTCTATTTGAACAATAACTTCCAGTTATTGAGCCTTTACTCTGTTAGCCCCTGTACTGAGTGCTTTATATGAATTCAATTATTGAATCTGCAGCAAGATTGCATGAGATAGGCACTATTACTATCACCATTATACAGATAAAGAAACTGAGGCTTGATCTGAGTTACATAGAGAGGACATGGCAGATTGAGGACTTGAACATAGATTGAACAGGCTCTGGAGCCTGTGCTATTATCTACTCAGCTATAGAGCCCTCTCTAAGAACCTAGGGGTGTTTTCTTTGTGCCTGTCTCACTCTATGTTCCAGATGGAAAACACTATCAAACAGTCTGAAAACGACCTAAATAAGCTACTTGAGTCTACCCGGCGCCTGCATGATGAATATAAGCCGCTGAAGGAACATGTGGATGCCCTGCGCATGACTCTGGGTCTGCAGAGGCTTCCTGACTTGTGTGAAGAGGAGGAGAAACTTTCATTGGAGTAAGCTGCCTGCCCCCCGTCCCCTCAACATACCCCCCACCCTGCCACGCACACAAGCATGTACACAAAACCTGGCCTGAAAGTCAAGGTACCTAGTCCTAGTCCCAGGCCTTTTAATGGCTGATTCATTGCATGACCCTGGGCAAATCTCTGTGTTGGGCTGTTACAACAGAAGAAAGATTAGACTAGAATTACTAGACGGTTTTTTAAATTCTTTGTGTGATTTTGACAATATAAAACTATTTCTATGGCTCCTCAGATGTTACTTCCCAAGTCAAGATCTAGAAGGGATATCCAAAAACCTTTAAAAATACAAAAGGCTGAACTTTCATGGTCTGCAGGGGCTAGCCTAGAACTTCATCTCAAGACCCAGATTAAGAACTAGGCTCACCTTGTAAAGAGACAGAGTTTGGCCTAGTAGAAGCAAGTGTTTCCTAAAGGTAAAACAGGTTGCCTGCGGAAGTGGTGAGCTTTCTATTCCTAGAAGTATGTCAACAGAGGCCTGAAGGTATTTAATAAGAATACTCAAAGGAGCATAGAATGGAGGATAGGACTGAATGTCCTTAAGGACCTTGCTAGCCAGAAGATTTCTTGATCTTCTGAATCTATCAGAGGCAAGGAGCAGGAAGATTACCCTTCTCAGCAGACAATGGGCTGGGTACCCAGGGAGAAGAACCTTGTGCTGGAGAGGGTACAGAAACTTTCTAGTTAGCCACAGCCCAACTCTTGGTTCTGTGGCATGGAGTCTTTAAGGGGGCATTTTAGAATGATTCATCCAATGTCTCTCATTTCCAAAGTTACTTTGAGAAACAGAAAGCTGAGTGGCAGACGGAGCCTCAGGAACCCCCCATCCCTGAGTCCCTGGCCGCTGCAGCTGCTGCTGCCCAACAACTCCAAGTGGCTAGGAAGCAGGACACTCGACAGACGGCCACCTTCAGGCAGCAGCCCCCGCCTATGAAGGTGAGTGAGCTTGACAGGGGCTGTAGAAGAAGCAAAGTATCCTGCCGTGGAAGGCCCATGGAAGGCTGAGCTTTGGCCTTATGTATTTTGGGCCTTCCTTAAACAGCCTTTGCTTGGGATACAGAGGAAGGGGTGGCAAGTGTGTGCTGTGTTGGACCCACTGGTTTTGTTGTCCCACATTCCCCAGAGGGGTTAGAATGCAGGGAGATTTGCAGACCCTGCTAAAGTATAATTCTAAAAGTTAGAAACATGACCCTTACACAAACAGGTAGTGAGCATGTATCATGAATGAGGGTGCCAGCAGATTACAAAGGTGGTTCCAAGAGCATTTGAGGAACAGACATTTATATAGTCAGGAAAGGAGAGGAAAGCTGAAATAAATTTGCAAAGGTAGATACAGAACTGGTTTATATCCTACATGACCATAAAATTGTGATCTTTGTAATTACCTTTTCTTCTGAACAGAAATAATTTACATCTCTACTGGACAAAAAAACATTTTTAGCTTATCAATGTAACATCACAGAGTCTGGCTCTCATCAGTCAGTAAACAGTCAAACAAAGGAACATTCGAGAGTCAGCAAACTACAGCTTACAGGCCAAATCTTACCTGCTCCCTGTTTTTGTTAAAATTTTATCGGCACACATGCATGGTTATGTTTGCAAGGTATGGCAAACAACATGCATGCAAGCTGTTGTCTATAGCTTCTTTCATGTAAAACAGAGCTGAGTAGTTGCAGCAAAGACCGTATGACATGAAAAGTCTAAAATATTTACTATCTTGGCCTTTACATAAAAAGTTTGCTTAGAAAATTAAATAATCCTTGGGTGGGCCTGTTAGACAATGCTCCAGTATAATGCTGAATGGATATGTAGTTCTCATTTTATTTTCAAGTTTCAGATAGTTTTTCTCAATACTCCTCTCTAACTGGGTTATATCCTTCACTCACATCTTCTATGGCCTCCAAGGGCACTGATATCGCTACTTGAGTCTTACTCACTGATTACTTCTCCCTCCTGATGGGAAATCACAGTTGCTTTCTGGGCCCCTGGGGATCAGAAATCTGAGCCTAGAAGAATCTAACTGCTAACTTTGTTCTGTGCCCCTCACTAGGCGTGCTTGTCATGTCACCAGCAAATTCATCGGAACGCACCCATATGCCCTCTGTGTAAAGCCAAGAGTCGGTCCCGGAACCCCAAAAAGCCAAAACGGAAGCAGGATGAATGAAGAGAGGGAGAGCACATGGAGCTCTGCTGATCATAAACCTCCCATCCCCCGACCTTGACCAGAGTGATTGATGTCCTCATGTGAAACAACCCTGCCCCACCCCACCAAGTCTCCTATTTAATGTAATGGAAGCACAACCCCTCTCTCACTTTGCTCTTATTTCTTTCTGCTCTTAGTATTTCTAGTTTAGGAAGAGATGTGGTTCAGGTGCTAATGACAGTGTGTCTGAGGATCCCTTCTCTCCCACCTACATTTCACCTACTGCCCTTGTTTAGAGCTAAGGGAAGAGCAAAAGGCCCAGATGTGATTCTCTGTCTCTTGTGCCTGAGGCCTGGAGCCTAAGGACCTATAAGGTCTGAGGGGTGGAGGAGGCTCACATCTTATTCCAAGTAAAGGATTCAGTGTTTCCCCTTCCTGTACTTTTGCCTTAGGCTCTGAAGGGACAGCAGTCTTCTTGCTGGAGTTACCAATAGCCTGGGTGCTTCTATCTCCCCAACTCCCACCTTCATCTCATCTTTAAGGCCAGCAGTAGCTTGGACAAGTCCTCCTTTTTATATTCATTTTGGGGCTTGGCTGTTATGCTTTAGCTCCCCCCACCTCAGTCTCCCAGAAATACTAAAATTCTTAGGTACCAGGCTCTGTGTCTGGGGATCCTGAGATCTGTGGGCCTTTCCCCCATACCTCTAGTATTTGCAATTCAGTAGTAGAAGTTCCCCACAGTAAAATCAGGGAGCCAGACCCACTAAGCAAGTCCTGCCTAACTCACTGCCTAAGTCACTGGGCCTGAGGGTTCTGCTTTAGGGGTTGCCTTAGGCTGAAAGAGGCCCCAGGATGATATCTGTGTTGGCTTTTGTTCCAAACCATTACTCTGGCTCAATGGTCACAGGGAGGAGAGGAGTGGATTTAGATTCAAGTGAGTGCCAATCTCTTTACAAATGCAGGTAGGTGGAACTTTCTCTCCATTCATCCCTCCCTCTCTTGGATCTTCCCTCTTCTGTAAGGCAACCTCAGCTCAGGACAGCCACTGGTCACCCCTGTCCTATAGATTGTTCGGGTGGCCTCCCTTCCCAAAAGAAAAGGCATCAGGCTCCCTATGCTCCACAGCTCTCCTCTCCACCAAAGTCATTCTTGAACTTAAGGGGTGAAGATAGAGGCTGACTAAAAGAAAAAATTTTAGCCTCAGGTCTTAGTCCTTGGCTGAGGGGGGATATTTTTCCTTCCTTCCTTAACTGTAGTTTTACATTGCCACAGTATTTGTGTGTTCATAATATAAAAGGTTCCTCTGCTCTTTGAAAATAAGAGTGTTATGTCTGTATAAACCCTTTTAAATAAACATTTGTTGATTGAAGTAAATTCCGACTGAGTGCCTTCTGTGTACTGGATAACACAAAAGGTGAAATGCCATTTGCCCTTCTAGGTAGCCCTTCTTCACTCTTATTCACTCTACCTTACAAATGAGGAGGCCAGACACCGAGACACAATAATTTACCCAATTATCATAATAACTTCCCTTTATTCAGCAGCTACTCTGTGCCAGGTCCCTGTGCAAGTTGCTTTATATAAATAATTGTATTTGATTTACAGAACAACCTTACAAGCTAAGTATTCTTATCACCATTTTGCAAAAAAAGGAAACTGAACCTCAGTAAAGTTAAATAGCTTGTCTACAGATAAACAGCTAGTAAGAGGAAATTTCAGGATTTGAAGCCATATTTGTCCAATTCCAGAGCCCATTTTTTTCTCCTTCTTCTCTATGATCATGTTTTTTTCTTTAAACCTTTATCCCTTTTAGAATGGCTTGATGATAGGAGTGGTTGAAATAACTCTGGACCTGAAATCAGGACCTAGATATCCAGTGACTGATTAATGCAGGGCTATAAAGGCCTGGTTCCCTATAGGGATATAATAGGGAACAACTTTGAAGGAGCATCCCAACTTCAGAGGTCCCTGTAGGGTGATGGGGTGAGCTGAGGTTGCCATTAAGACTGCATTACAGGTCAACATTTCCCTCGGTCTAATCCTGCCCCTTCCCCTTCTTCTTCCCTTTCCCCTTCCCTAGTATTGATCCCAAGGGCTCCCTAAGTAATATCCTATACACTAATCTGTCTCAGTGCTTCTCAGGGAACTTAACAGCTAAATAATACCTTTTTATGTCTCAGTGTTCTCATTCATAAAATGGAGAAAATAATAGCACCTATTTCATGGGATTGGTGAGCAATACCAAGTACATAGTGAGTTCTTAATAAATGTTCCTTATCTTTCCTGTGTCTCTGGGTTCAAGTAGATTAGATGGCCAGTCAAAAGAAAATTCATCTTATCTGACATTACTCTATCACCCCAGGTGTTGTACAGCTACAAGCCTGCTTTTGAGGTGGCTCAGGCTTGCCCTAGACAAAGGGAGGACACTCAGCTGTGCAACTAGGAGTATACCTTAACCTTAGCCTCAGTGGGTCCCTGTGAAGTATAGGAGGCGTAGTCATTGCTCTGCATCCTTGGCATAGTGGAGGTCGGGTCTGTCAATTCTGCTGTGGTGAAGGTAACAGGTCTTGATCTCTGAGCACCACTGGTCAGGCAAGCCAGTTCCCAGGGAAACTTCTGAATGGGAAGGTAGTAATTGTGTGTTGCGCACCTACACCTGCCAGCCACTTGGTGGGGCACTACTATCTCATTTAGTCTTTCTGGTTCATTTATTGGCTGTGAAACAAACACCCCAAAATTTAGTGGCTTAAAAATCACCATTTATTTGCTCACGATTCTGCAGTTTGAGCCAGACTCACTGGGAATGGCTCATTTGTGTTCCATGTGATACTGTCTCAGGCAACTTGGCTGGAACTGGAGGATCCAAGATGGCTGCACTCTCATCTGGCAACTCAGCTGGGGTGGCTGGAACAGCTGCAGGCTGGGTGCCCAGAACCCCCCTTTGTAGTCTTTTATCCTCCAGGGCTTCTCTTTCTCCATTTGGCCTCTCTTTTCAGTAGAGTAATAAGACTTTTTTACCTAGAAGCTGGCACCCAAGAAGGTGAAAACCAAAACTAGCAGTCGTATAGCAACACTGCTGCTGCACTCCTCTATTGATCAAACTAAGTCACAGAGCTAGTTCAGATTTAAGAGTTGGGAAATAGACCCCATCTTTTGATGGGAGGAGCTGCATGCATGTCAGAGATGGGAGCAATTGTTTCTGGCCATATTTGCAGAAAATCTACCACATTTTCTGCCAACAACATTTCAAGGAAGATATTATAATGTGTCCACTTTTACAGTTGCTAAAACCGAGGCTCGAGAAGGGTAAAGTAATTGCCTAACAAACAACCAAAAAGTGGAAACGCCAGGTCAGACCCAAGTCTGCCTGCCTCTAAAATCTGTGTTCCTTTTGCCTAAGTGCAGTGCTGCAGGTAACCCCAAGAGCCAGTTAAGGCAGAATAAAGAAAGGAAGATAAGGAACAAAAATAGAGTAAAAGAACAAGACAAGGGGTGTTGGGGAGAAAGAGAAGGAGGAGGGGGGAGAGTCCAAAGAGTAAGAAAAGTATTCTTTATGTGGGTAAAATGCTTTATATTCAATGTACCTTCTTCACCATCCCCATTTGATGCTTACATTAGTAATGCTGTATCATTAGTAGAGCATGTATTATCATCCACATTTTATAGATGAGGCTCAGAGAGGGAACTGACTTGCTCAAGATCACATAGCAAGATAAGAGCAAAGCCACAATTAGAACCTAGGCCTTCCAATCTGGGAATCACCCAGGCTGCAGCACTCTACAGGCTTGACACAGCAGAGATGAATTGTATACATGCTTTGTGCCAGAGGTTGGCAACTCTTACACTGAAGGAAGGCACTCACTCCACAGGGAAAGGCCAGTTGATTTTAGCAGTTCTGCTCTTAAGTCCAGTTCCATGTCACTATTATATCCTCAGCTTTCCCATAGCAACTATCAGTATCTTTATAATGATCAACATCTCCCAAGGTGAACTTGGGGAAGGCTGTTAACTCAGGGCCATGTGCCCTTGGGTTAGTTACTTAACCTCTCTGGGCCTCTATTTTCTCACATGAGAGGCAGGAATATTAATAGTCATAACACTATTGTGAAGATCAAATGAGCTATTAATAATACAATGTTAAGTAACCAGAACAGCACCTGAAAAGCATTCAATAAATAGCAGCTATGAGGAAGATGATAATAATTATGACTGACATCCTGAGAAGCCAATGGTGATGATGGTGGCAGTGATGACAATGATGTTGAAGACTTACTCAGAATTCCAAATGTGCAAAAGGGTTAGAGGGTGCAACAGGTAAGGGATTGTCCCTGTGTAGGGCCTCCCATAAAGTAAAAGCTGACAGCTGGGAGTCATGGTGTCTTTCCTGAAGAATGATGAGACTCTGAGGCTCTGCTGCCATCAGCCATTTAGTCTGTTTAATGGTTGTAAAAGATACTGGCCTTTCCTGGGAACTAGGTAGAAGCCCCTCTTTCCACCATATTCTCTTCTGATTGTGGCTGGGGAATGAAGACTATCCCTAAACAAGCACTCGCCATCAGTGGTCTAGGTCCACGTGCACTTCAGTGGTTTCCATACTGCATAGTACAGGCAAATGACATTGTCCTAGGAACTAATTGTTTCTGGGTTAAAATCCCAGATCCTCTATGTACTGGCAGTGAATTCTTAAGCATGTTGTTAAACTTCTCTGATCTCTAGTTTCCTCATCTGTAAAATAGAGATAATGCTTGCTGTGTGGGGTTGCAGTGAAATTTTTAAAAATGAAGGAGAGAAGCACCATTCACTGGATGCTCATAGTGTGGTGAGTGCTGTGGTAAATGCTTTCACATATTTTATTACACAGAGTAGGCAGCATAGTGTGGTGGCTAAGAGCACAGATACTGAAGCCAGATAGTCTGGATTCAAATCTCAGCAATGCCACTTGCTAATTATGTGACCTTCGGTGAACTCATTAACTTTCTGAAACCTCAGTATTCCCATCTGTAAAGTGGAGAAAATACTAGAATTTACCTTATTAGATTATGTGGATTAAATGAGGTAACATTTATAAAGTGAATATAGCATTATTTGAGTGTTTGATAAGCAACTAAACAAATCAAATCTTCCTAGCAACACTCAGTGTCATCAATTTAGAGATAAGAAAATTGAGATTGAGAGAGGTCAAGTGTCTGAATTTGGGTCTGTCTGATTCTTCTATACCTCAAGAGTGCATAGGAAAGAACCTGGTACCAAGTAGATCCCTAACAACATTTCATTCCCTACTCTAGACTTGGAATTTGAAGGCTTAGATGTGAATCTTGTGTTGCTCAGAATCAATGAGGAGAGAAGGGAAACCGAGGCAGAGGCAAAGTCATACTTCACTAGGAAGCCACTAGGGGTTACCCCTCCTTATCCAGGGTTCAAGCTAGCCTTTGCTTTCTTGGAAAGCACTTTTTTTGGTGATTTCCCTGCTTGTCTGCCTTCATTCTCCACTAAGAGTCAAGCTTCCAGAGGACAGAATTGGTGTCTCCAACTGCTTAGACAATTCTCCACCAGGAGGTACTGGGCCACCGAGAACACAGCCTTCCCAAAGCACATATAGACAAGCTCCCTCTCTCCTAATAAATGGTTTCTTATCTATCTCTCAGCTTGGGTCTCTAAAGCTGGAGATAGGATAGTGAGAACTGGCAAAGGTCATCTAACCCCCCTCTAGACAGATTTCATCTAAATTAGGTTGAAAGTGGGGAGGAGGGTAGACAGGAGAATGTTGCTCCATAAATTAATATAACTATATTGGAGACAGAAACGTCTCAGGAGTTTTGCAGAGCTTTGCCCTGAAGGAATATGTGAATGTGTTAGTTTGCATATCGAAAGCTGTTTCACCTCATGAGGGCATCTCTGAAAGATCAGTAGCAGCTGTATCCCACAATGGCGCCACGATTCTCAGACCTGAGGTTTGGACTTACTTTGAAAAGAAAGCAGGTCTGCTAAGAGCCACAGGATGAGAGCTGATCAAAGAGTGCCCGCCCGACAGACAGCCACCTGTGGCTAAAAGCAATTAGCCCAAGGGACAGTTCCTGCTTAAACTTCTGACTACCTGTCTCAGTACACTATAACTTGATAGAGAAAGTATGGAGCCACTATATCTCTGTTTAACCTTTCTGTTAAGTGATAAATTTGCCTTAGAACTTAGAAGTTAGTCTTTGAAAGATTTTGTAACCATTTGTTCACGTAGATAGAGTTAGTTAAGGGATCTGAAAAAACTTTTTAAAAAAACTTTTAACCTAAGAGGAACTACCTGTAGTTATGTAAATCTGTTACCCCTGGCAACTGATCACTGTACCTATAAATATCCATGTAAAACTTCACTCTTGGCCTTTTGTGATTGACGGAGAGATCCAAGGCCCCCTGAGTAACCCGCTTTGCCTATA